CTTTAAACTGTCAGGCTCTATGTACCCCGAGTCTATGTGTTTCTTTACTCTGTTTCATGTTCATGGAGGTCTCATATCATATAACAGAGTAGTTGGTCTGTCCATGTAACTGTGAGCCTGTGTTTCCCCTGCAACTCTTTGTGGTGACAGCTATTCTGGTCTTTCTTTGATACTTCGCATCCGAGTGCACGCTGTGGTTACAGTGGTAGTGCTTAAACATATTTCAAGTATATGAAAAAAAAGTTAATATTTAGTCTACTTCTCTTTGAACATTGGTCATGGGGCTTTGCATGTGTACATAGTTTCCATGGTCTAGTCTTTGATATTTTCATAATTACCTTTTGAGAGATACATAAGCTTTTACATAACATCAACAGCATGCTCTTATTGGCTGTGTCCACGTATTGTAATCTATATGTCAAATTGTTTGTGACTCAACCATTTGCTACTATTTGAGCCCATCTTGTTACGTTTATCTTTTTACCAATGGTCTTTGAATCTCTTTACCAAATTGACTTGCCATAAAGACATGTAATCTCTTTATCTCCTCTCAAATCACCTGTGCCCTCACAGCTGTTTTTAGTTCTCTGTTGTGCATTTCTTTAATCTCTTGGGTCTATTCTTACTTGAGTGACATCATTGACCAATGTTTCCAGGGCTGCTCCCTGACATGCCATCAGCTGTGCCAGCAAGCAACCAACCATACTGAATCAATAAGGGATTGCTGTCTGTCTGTGTGTGTGTGTGTGTGTGTGTGTGTGTGTGTGTACTGTGATCCGCAGTAGAAGCCCCACTGTGCACAACACAATCACAAATATAGGACCCCGTTGTACAAATTGGCACACACATCTGAACTATCTGTTTGTTTCAATTAAACAGCTACACACATCCTTGCCTACCAGCCTAAAGCATATTGTTAAAGAGATGTGCTGCCATTTGAATGACAAAATTGTCGAAGGTATTGAACAGAGAAAGACCAGTTAACATGCACATATACCCACACAAATATAGATACATGCGCACAGTGATGCATTGTTTATGTTGTAGTGACAGTGATTTCAGGCATGACAGGTTAGTTGAGGAAATGTCACTGGGATAGTGCAATAACACAGAGAACAAGAACCAAATAAATGAGTGCACACACATGTGGATGCACAGTGTGTGTGCCCGGATTAACAGTTCACTGGATAAAATTTAATTTAATTGGCCCAGTTATAGATGGCTCTTCCATCCCCTTCCTTTTTCCTCCCTTCTCTTTAACTTTAACTAGATAGCATGAAATACCAGTGTGTGTCTGTGTCAGTGTGCCATCTTGTCTTTTCACAGAGAGGGAGACACTTCCTGTGACCACTTTTTAAATCAGGAACTGTAGCAGCTTGATAATTGATGTAAAGACCCAACAATGAAGCAAAACGTAGCTCTAACTTTGGTTTTTCAGCCTTAACTAAAAAAATCTTTAGTCTTGTCTGCTGTTCCGGTTTATTTCTTCTCTCCTCACCTCTCTCCTTCTGTTCCATTTCTGCACTTTTAAAACCTGTAGTTCAGTTGAATTACCTCACTCTCCTCTTACTTCTTCCCTTATATGCAGGTTGTTCCTTTTCCCTTTATTCTTGGAATAAGGTCACCCTTTCTAAATAAAGCTGATAATGACTTTTTAAAACAAAGCCCTCTAAAATGTATGCAGTCCTCATTCCTGAAGGAGGAGGGCACACTGTGAGCACTTCTATTTTTCTTTTTTCTTTTTTTATCTGTGGAATATTAAGAAAATGGAGGAAAGTGGGCTGGCTTGGTTTCAGGCTTTTTTCAATTTTACCTTAAACTGAAGCAGACAGAACAACATGACCAGAAGAAAATACCAGGGCACCATTAAAAACAGAGTGACTGGCAGAATTACTGCCACGTGTGGTTCCACATTTGGTTGTCAAGTAAGTGAGATGTGTGTGTGTGTATTGTATGGCTGGAAGGGAGCCAGTGTAGGTATGATGGAGTTAAGGCTACATACTCAAAGAGAGGAAGAGACACCATGAATGAACAAAGACCGGTTTCAGCTGGTGTAATAAGTGATTAAATCTAAAAACTGCAGTGTTATTTGTCTGCTAGTTCGAGGCAGTGTGTGAGACTTTACAAATGGCCTTTAAATACATCACGAAGCTGCGTCTGTCTGTTTCTATCAATCCTCACATTAAAGTCAAAGTCAAAGTGCTTATTGTCATATGCACAGTACAGAAACGTGCTTTCCTGTACAATGAAATTCTTACTTTTCTTACTAATTCTTACTACTACCACATGAATGCCACACAATACAAATGAAATATAAAATAGATAAATAAGTAACACAAAATCTAAGGCACTTTAAAACAGCAAATGAAGAGCTATAATAAAACACATATAAGAATATAATAAGAGAATGTATGCTACATGGGAGCTGTATGTGCAGCAGTCAACAGTCAATGTGCAGTTATGCATGTGCAAACTGAGAATGTAAACAATACAGGTCGACAGTACATGACGTATTTCCTGGTAACAAACTCCTCAGCTTTTTAGGAGTCTGATGGCAGAGGCAAAGAGTTTTTCAGTCTACAGGTCCTGCATTTCACACTTCTGAACCTCCGGCCAGAGGGTAGGGAGGTGAACAGTCCATGCTGGGGGTGGGTGGGGTACTTGAGGAATAGGCATTGGAAACAGGGGTAACCCACAAATGACAAGTATTGTAGTTCTGTGTTTCTGTTTAATGTGTGCCTGAGTTCCCTGCCCATGTATTTTAATCTGTTTGTGTGTGTGTTTGTGAGGACTGGTTTTTGAGTTTAAGCTATGGAAGTGAGGACATTTTGGGAAACAAAGCATTTTGGCTGGTCCTCACTTTCCCACAAACCCCAAAAGAGCACAGAAGCAGAAACAAAAATATAAGGAATGGGAGCTAGAATATACTTTGCAGCTGTTATAAATGTTTTTATTTATTCACTGGGCAATGAAAGACATGAAGTCCCACTTTACACCTGCAGTAACATACACATAAGTGCAACAAACTTTATATTTTAGTGTCCGATGAACAGTCTAAGAACTTTTGCACGATGTAATTCTTCCTGGATATGTTCCAAAGATCATGAAGTAACTTTATGTAGCATTACATTCCTGCAAAAAAGGACAGATGATTTCTTTTTTACATTAAACTGTTTATTTTCATGGTAGCGTCTATAGGAGTAAGTTGTTCTGCCTGCCCTGTCGCTGAAATCACGGGGCAGTAAAACAGGAGATGATTGGAGCCTTGTGTTGCCGTTTGAAATCTAATTTAAACTTTTACAGCCTTGTTTCACAGCAGACTGATTGAGAATTAACAATTGTATTTATGAACACAAGGGCTCACATGAAGGCAGACAGAGGGAAAGACCAGTACACGGCGGCATGCAGCAACATAAAGGGCAAAACACAAATACCCCTACAATTCCACATTATTTTTGCCTCTACTCACGACAGCTGCTGTATTTAAAGTACTGTTTCTCACTGCTAATGATTCGACCTGATAATAGCCCATCTTTGCTCACTTAATGGCAGCTCTCACACAGAAAACTAACATTATTGTTCAAATGATTTAAAGTTTACATGAATAACTGGACCATAACTGGAGTTTAGCCAGCTTGTTTGTGAGATAAATGCTAAATATTTCTATACTGCACACCCACACCCACACTCTTTGTAATTACTTACTAACATTTATTGGTCATGAAATGTGATCTTCATCTAGGTTATGCATATAGACAACCAACAATGTGCCTAGGCTAAGAACACATGAACAGTTATAGCGGTTCATGTTTATATTGAATACAACCATTAAACATCCACAGTGGTGGTGGAAAAAGTAAGCGAACCCTTGGATTTAACAACTGATCAG